CTGCTTCATCTGCTCTCCGTTTGTCCGCTGCTGCTTTGTACTCGTGTACAATCGTTTTCATATTTTCATGAACTGGTCAGGTAATGACGCGTCTGTTGATCAGCTCCCGCCAATCATTTCTATTGAAGATGGCCCGCCTCCAATTAGTAATGCCCATAGCTTCCAGATCGTCTAAAATCTTGGTTTCCCATCTCTTGATTATGCTCGGATTTACAGGTCGGTTTTCGCGAGCAAAGTGGAAGTACATCATCTTCTTCACGAGGGAGGAAACCCCTTCTTCGGTCTCTAGTCGGTTAGCGTGTCCAAACCATCTTAACCGATTACGACGCATTAGATCTTCAATGGTCGGTTGACCGGAGAGTTGAAGGATCCTTAAGTTTGGCACACGATCTCCCCAGTTCAGGCCAAGGATTGTACGGAGGCATCTCATGTAGAATGTGTTGATGCGAGTCTCTTGCGTAGTGGTCAGCGTCCATGTTTCACTCCCATAGAGAAGGACTGGCAGGGTACATGCACGAAAAATTCTGAGTTTTGCTTCGATCGAGACAGTTTTTCTGTACCAGACGACTTCTCGAAGCATGTTGAACGCAGATGATCCTTTTCTCAATCGAGCTTCCAGTTCGTTTACTGAGCTCTGGTCTCTCGACAGGATGCAGCCGAGATAGGTGAAAGAATTGACGGTTTTGATCTTCTGTCCGCGGATGAGTGAGGTAATGTCTGGTTGGTCGATTTCCTTGTGGCGTTGCAATTTGTTCTGGACATCTGTTTCAAATTGCTGCAGTGGCATAACACACGTCTTCTTCACGCTCATGATTAGTCCATATTGCTGAGTGATCTTCTCGAAGCTCAGTATGAACTTTTCCAGATCCGCCAATGATTCAAACGCTGCAAGAAGATCATCCGCATGCATTAGTTCCCGAAGCTCGAAGGTGTCAAATGCTTCGCTGGAGAGATGAAAGAAGTCGTTGCTCCCGTAGCATAATTTAACTCCGGTGACACCAGCGTCCTCGAACACCTTCCTGATGATAGAGTCGAAGAGTGCGCTGAACAAGCTAGGCGATGGTATATCGCCTTGCATCACGCCGGTTTCGATGTTGAAACTATCGGATTTCTCTCCTTCAATTCGGACTTGAGCCTTTGAGTTCTTGTACGTCACTTGAAGCAGTCGCACGATCTTCTCGGTCAAACCGTAGTGCTGGCAGATCTTCCACAGCAAAGTTCGATTCACCGAGTCATAGGCTTTGGTGATGTCTATAAACACCATGTACATTGGTTTGTTGTATTCTTTGTGTTTCTCCATGGCTACCTTGAGAGTGAAGATGTGATCAATCGCTGACCGATTTGGTTGAGTAGTCGTTGATCAAGGACTGTTTGTACTCGGTTCAGCAAGACTGTTGAAAATCTTACTAACAACAGACAGTAGTGAAATCCCCTGATAGTTTTCGCACAGTTTCTTGTCACCCTTCTTGAACAGTCGGATGAGAGTGGCAAGGCTCCAGTTGGAAACTGTCTTTTCACTTGTCCATATTTCCGTGAAGAGTTGGTGTAACCAGCGGACAACTGTGATTCCGCCTGCCTTAAGGAGGTCGGCTGTGATGTTGTCATTTCCAGGCGCCTTTCTACTCTTAGACATGTTGACTGCTTGTTGCACTTCGACAAGAGTTGGTGGTTTTTCTTGCCGCCGACGTTCTTCTGTTTTAATATCAGCTGATCGGATCGCATCGATGAGCTGCTGGTCAAGCACGGTTCGAACGTTGAGAAGTTCCTCAAAGTACTCCTTCCATCGATTTAAGCGATCTGCAGAGTTGAGGAGAAGCTTGCCCTGCTTGTCGACAATCGGAAGATTTTCAATGCGATGTCTCCCGCCTCGCAGTCTTCTTATCATGGCGTAGGCAGTTGCCGGATCGTGTTGTTTGATGGCGGCTTCAATTTCTGCCGAGATTTCATCCCAGTAGGTTGTTTTTCTCTGGTCGGTCAGGTTTTTCACTGCTTTGCGGGCAACCACGTATTTGTCGCGCGCTTTACGCTCGTCTGTCGTGCCTCTACAGTTCTGCCAGGCCAGGAATGCCGAGGCTTTCCTTCCCACGGCGTCGACTATCTCCCCGGTAATCCATTCCTTTCTCTTGCGTTAGTTTCCTCGATCTGGAGCCAAATGCTGCTCGGCGGTCTGCTGCATTACTCTGACAAAGTGCTTGTATTTGTCATCGCGGTCGTGTTGTAGATCGTAAACTTGTTGGAGTTTCGTAGACAAGTCTCGTTGAAACTGAGAATGCACTTCCCTGTCGCACACTTTGTTCTTGTCGAGCACTGGTGGTCGCTTGGTCTTTTTCGTTCTAATTTTTAGGTGGAGTTTGACTTTCGTTCGTAGAAGATGGTGATCGGTGCCAATTGCTCCTGCAGGTCTTCGCAGACAGCGGACATCCTCGATGCTCGATCCGAATTTTCGGTTTACGATGGTGTAGTCGAGCGTGTGCCAAGTCTTTGTTCCTTGATGCATCCAGGTGGTCCGATGGATCCTTCTGTGGGCGAAAGTTGTGTTTGACACCACGAGGTCATTTTGCAGACAGAGGTCTAGCAGGTGGATGCCATTTTCGTGCAGAACATCGGTTGTGAAAGGACCCACACACTGAGGAGCTGTCTGGTATTCGGCTGATCCAAGACGGCTGTTGAAGTCACCCATGATCATGACCATATCGTTACGGTCGACTCTATCGAGCGTGCTCTGTAGATCAGAATAGAACTTGTCTGCGTCAGCAGCCTTCGCGAGTGTTGATGGATTGATAGGAGAGTACACTGAGATGAGAGTAAGGTTGATTGGAGTGCAGTGGAGTCGTATTCTTAGGATTCGTTCAGACACGGGTTCCCACTCTGAGCCAGAGTTCTTCCAGGTACCTGCCGCTGTTTTGTTGAGGCAGAATGCAACTCCATATGCTGCTCGTGTTTTTGTTGTGCCTGGGAGTCCGGCTTAGATGAGGGTCCACTCAGCGCCGATGTTCTTTACGTCGTTGTCGTAGATCCCGGTTTCAGAGAGAGCAGTCACTTGGATGTTGTACTGTGAGAGCTGCTTCATCATAAGTTGTTGTTTTTCGTAGTGAAAACAGGATCGAACATTCCAGGAACCGAAGTTCACCGATTTTTGTGCGTTCGCGCACTTGGTCTGTGTTTGTTTGGTAGCAAGATGGGTTTAAAGTCCAGAAACGGGTTGCTAGCCCGAGGTCTAGACGAGTAGCTGCGGCAGCCCAGGGTCACTAACTCCTGTAGAAGTTCGAGAACTTCCCCGAACAATGCAACAACAACGATTATTTATATTAAAACATTCTTTGTGATTATAACTGAACAACAATAATGTAACTGAATGTGAATCTAAAAACTTAATAGTCTGTTGGATTAAAATAACTTTGCTTATACATTGTGAATTTTTGTGGATGTCCACTTTTTTTCCCTACACTCTTGGAACAATCGCAGATTAGAAAAGATTTCTTAAACTGCTTCTAACAGTCATACTCAGAATTTAGAACAGCTTCTTAAACGTCACTATTCAATTTTGAACCAGAATAACTTATTTTTCTATTTAGGACAATAATAATCATTATAAGAAAAGATGGATGTACCTGGTGTATATTGATCATCCATATATCGTAATGTTGATATTCTTGGCCGATTCATATTAAAGCCCATTATCAATAATTCGAATGCAAATCTTGACTTTGAAGAATTTAATTTTGTTGTTTGTAATTCAATATTTAAAAAGTAACTTGTTGGTGTTACATATAATTTTGAAAATTTTGTATCTCTCATTTTCGTTCCTTCATACACAACTTCAATTTGTAACGTGCCATTTATCTATTGAAACGAGAGAGAACGGACAATAAACTAAGGAGAAAATATTATTTAGCACAAATCATCATCAAACAGCGCTAAATATTGCTTTTTCTTGCTCAACATAAACTAAAACAAGTTTTCTCTTACCTCATTTATTAGTATCTGAAAAACTGATGTCGATTCTTTATAACTCATTGTATATTTATCTGACGTATTTAACCAGTATGAAAATATTGTTTTTTCATTTATATTTTCATTATCATCATAGTCAACAAATTCCATTACACGTCTCAATACTACACTATAGGAATTAGAAGGAGTTACTGAAAATTGAACAGCACCATTATAGTTTCGAGCAAACATTTGGGTCCAATTAAAACTCAGTCGTGTACCAATCTCTTTCAACGATTCTCACAGTGAATATATCAAAACTCGAATAAAACATATGATAAATGTAACCGGTCGCTCATAAGTCATTAGCAGAGTAGAATATGCTCGGGCTTCCAAATCAATATTTATACTGGGCAAGTTCACCACCAGGATCCAATTGGAATGCTTGCTTACTTAATACAGACGATAATAGAACAGAGATCAATAGAATATTTGGTAATAAAAAAAATGAGAAAAACTGATTATTATCGAAAAAAAAGTGAGATGTCCTATAACTTATACGGATTATGGTGACGAAAAGTGGTACATACGTCATATCAGTTACAGAAAGCGTAAAACTTTGAGAACATTCATTCGTTCTTTTCTTGTATCTACACGTTTCTTATATCCACGTCTCAACTACATCTCGGACGAGAAGACCAAATATATTAAAATCAGTTTTCTTGAAATTTACTCTTCTCTATATTGATTGGTCAGAGGACTATACGTATTCATTTTCACTTTCTAATTTTTATACATGTTTATATAATCTCGAAATTCACTTTTAGGTCCTACAATGAATAATTAATTCGTAGTTGATTATAATCGATCGATTCGTAATGGATTCAATGTTAAACGAAAGTTTATTCTTAGTTAGAAATATTGCGGATAGAGTCAGTTTTTCTTCAGTTGTATATATCTCATTATTTCGTTTTCTCTTCTATGACTCTAACATTTCTATGGTTTGATTCATCTTATTTTTAGAACCCTTCAATATCCTTATCAAACAGCAACAACAATATTATTAACTTTGGTAAGTATTTCTTCTATTTTGTGTGTTTTTTCTACTGCAAAAAGAATGATAATACAGAATGATGCACCATGTTTCTATTGCATCAAAGTATTGGTATTTTGTGATGCTTTTCAGTCTGGAAATTATTCTGTTAGATGCTAACCTGTGCTTTTTGTTTCTTTCTAATAGATGGTACACAGTGTGCATTTTTCCATAAATCAGGCGAACATTTGCTATAGCAGCAGTTGGAAAGTCTATAAACATTCTTTTTATAGGTTTTCAGATATGCTCTATCCAATGGTGTGTTTTTAAAAGTTCAAAGACACTTTCATCTGGGTTCTCCAGAGACCGGGTCACTAGAAAACCCTTGCATAAGTATTCTGGAAATTTTTAAGGTGCACCATTGAAAAGAGCATATCTGAAAACCTATAAAAAGATATTTACAGGCTTTTGGACTGCTTCTATAGCAAATATCAATATCCTTAGCCAAAACTATGACTCTATGCTTCGACTTTAGCGTTTCGTTAGATCCAACTAGTTTTTGCTCAGAAGAACCTACAAATCGCATACCATTCGATGCAATTTCTTGCGCTGATTTCGAATATGTTATTTTTGTTGAATAAAAACGTTTCTGAACCGAGAAAAATGGAAAATACCTGAAAAAGTCAGGTTTTTTGGAAAACCCGCTGTATGCTTCAGAAGCATTTGCCCATTTTTGCGCATTCACTACAGATGCAGGACAGATAGGAGAAAATTTTGTGAAAGTTTGCTTAAATTTGGACCTTTGCTAACTTTCGCGCGCTCACGTTACTAAACTTAGGCCTTCGGAAAATCGCTTGAGAAAAACTTCTTTTAATTTTCTCAAATATCATAAGTCCAATTTAAAATTTTTTTTACTAATCTATAGCTGATGCCATGCAGATTTAGAGTATATGTCGTTTTTGAATCATTGAAAAGTCGATTTTCGTTTTTCTACCTAATGTCCGCCTGGATGCACACTGTGTGGTAGTAGTCAGAATTATCAAAATAAAGATGAGAAAATTAACAACCCAGATCCATGAACAAACCCGGCCAACGTATTACGTCAGCCGTAACGGCCGTCGTATTTCAACGTAAAAGATGTCGTTTACGATGGACGTAATGCGTTGGTCCGGTTTACGTCAAAATACGACGAAATACTATAGTATACCGTCGTGAATCTTTTACCTGAGAATGGCCATCACATGGAAACTATCCCTAGTGGAACTTCTTGATGCAAGTAGCTACAAGAAAGCAAGAAAAAAACAAGAAAGTGGGACACTTCTTGCTGCAAGAACTGTCCCACTTTCTAGAAGTTCCACTTTCAAAGAACCGACAATTCCTAGTCAATTTTAAACAAGACGGACGAAAGAACAGGACGATGCTCCTTCATCTTTTTAGTACCGATCGAAGAAACTTCCATTAACACCGTTATGCTGATGTGTCTATATACAGAAATCCCTATGTGCCACTTAATCAATTATTAAACGCTGAATGTTTAGTATATTCACGTTTGGAAAAATTGTTATAAACAAGTAGCGCGTTGGTTTATCATACTGGTGCAGTCGGTTCTTTGACCTGTACAGGTTTGTCTACCGAATATGAGAGCCTACTGGCCGTGGCTACAGTCCTGAATTATACATAGAAACTTGGATATTTTTTAAAACGTTATTTCTACTTATTTCAAAATGAAGTTATGGAGAAAACAAGGATCTATACGTCACTTAGTTTGGCAACAAATATTGCGGACATTGTAAGAGAACAAGAAGAGTGAACCTTTTGTTGTTTCTAACTAATGTCATCGTCTGAGAGACGCTGAAATGCTGATAGAAGACACTGAGATAGAAATCGGTAGTGGATATCGAATTTAACCGCAAATCACTCTTGGTCAGTTATTAAACGCTAAATGTTAAGTATATTCGCGATTTGATAAATGGTTATAAGCAAGTAGCATGAGGTCATCATACTGATTCATACTAAAAAAAGATTTTAATTCCAACTAATTTATGACACAGTCATTTCAGGTAATATTGTAATAGGTCAAAGTGTTGTCAATAACAAGGACTTTTTTTTCGTTTTTTTCTGCTCTTCATGAGCGGACAAATATTAAGAAAGAACTGTTTGTTTAATCAGACAGAACAATTGAAAACCATGAAAGGGTTTTTTTCTTATTATGAAAAATACCCAGATTTTATTCTGATACACAGAAAAAGAAAAGAAATCCGAAAACGCCTTGAAACATTTCCTTTTTTCCGGAAACTGCTAAGAACACTTTAATGTGCTATTTCAAAACATTGAATAATTTCATTTCAACGCAAGGTCTACATAGAAAAACAACCATACTACTCAGAAGTAAGTTTTGCACAGTGTCCATTTTTGGGTAGACAGGCGGACATGAACCTTTCAAGGACTTTAGAGGTTTACAAAGAATTTTCATATAGGTTTACTTCTGTATCCCTTCTAATGGTATCGTTTTTGAGGTCCAGAATTGAGGTATATGAAAAACGTTTTTAGACTTCGGGCCGATGTCAAAACTGATTTCCAAAAACGTAATTAAAAAAATTCGGGAAAGGATCCTCAATTTCATAGTTTTGTGGAATGCCCTATTTTTTCGCCTGAAGTCATTCTTGTCATACATTACTCGATGCAGTTTTTGGTGCTGATTTCGAATATAGTGTTTTCATCGAATTTTAGATTACTTTAGCTGAAGAAAAGGGGAAAATACTGGAAAAACGAACGGTTGTTTGGGAAGCCTGTCATTTTCTCTAGAACAGCCGGTGCTAGTTGGCGCTATCCGTGTGCTTGTGCCATATATAGGGGAACAATCGCTGAAAGTTTCATTGAATTTCGAGTTAGGCTGAAGTTGGCGCACGCATTTTGTCAAGCACGTCTCTCGAAAAAATTCGTCAGAAAAATGTTTTCTTTTTTCATTTGACTTGGAAAGTCCAAAATTTGAAAAAGTTTTTACCAATCGATAGAGGATTCGTTGTAGATTATGACTATGCGTTTGTTTTTTCAATAATGTGGACTAATTTTTTCGAATAACCTGATTTTCTGGACTGTATTTCAGCCTACTTTTTTTCTATGAGATTTTTTCAATCCAAACAAGTCCTATAAAAAAACTCCCCATGGCAAAAAGATAGAGCAAATGCTGAAGTATATCACTTGCTATCTGGATCGTGGAAAAGTGCATTTTGATTTTTTCACCAAAAGTCCGCCTGGATACACACTGTATTTTGTAGGCTTTTCAAGTCAGTTGCTTATATACGTTCACAAGCGGAAACACGTTTGTTCATGGCTCAGCTAAAGACTGAGTGAGACATCGAAAACATCGAGTGCTAATGATGGTTGCGTATTTACAACTTTCCTTATGTTTCAGCCCGACTGCTATGGCTGCACGCAAAGGTACACGTTTTTCAGACATAGAATCGACAGACAAATATTTAACACCTATATTCCAAACGCTACCACTCGTGTCGTTAGAGAAGGCAGTTGAACCACTCATAAATATCGTTTCGTCGATTAGTGAATATGCAAAAAGTGCTAAACTCTGCTGTTTGAAAGATAAAGAATATGGTTTAACCCATGACGAATCGGCCGCGATCTATCTATATTCGATGGAAAATGGAGATGATAGTTTCCATTCGTGTCTGAACGCGGCACTGCGTAGTGAAAACGGATCCGGTGACCTGAAATTTTATTTATATCTGAAACTACTCGACGCAGCTACAAATAAATTGCCGTCCTTGTCCGATGGTATCTGGCGTGGTGTTGATAAAGATCTAAGTCGACTGTTTAAAGAAGGACAAGAGATCACATGGCGGGCAGTCAGTTCTTGTTCAAGAAAAGTACATGTGATCAAAAAGTTTCTTGGTCGGACAGGTGGAAGTTCCACTTTATTTTTAATTCAGTGTGTAAGAGGAAAAGACATATCGGCATTTTCGTGTTATACAGATGAAAATGAAATAGTTTTAATGCCTGGTACACAGTTGCGTGTTGTATCAAATCCACTGGATCTCGAAGGAGGGAGACATGTGATTCATTTGAAAGAGATCAGCGAAAGTGTCCGTACCACAGTCATTCAAAAAACAACTGAAACTCTGAAAATCAATTATCCAAATGGAAATAAATACGTAGGAGAAGTAAATGTGAGAAATGAACCAAATGGAACGGGAACAATGTTCTACAAAGATGGTCAATTGAAAGATGATTGTTATAAGGGTGAATGGAAGTGTGGTAAGAAAGGTGGACAAGGCATTTACGATTTTGCCGTAGGAAAGAAGTGGAGAAAGTATGATGGTCGATTCGAAAACGATCTATTCAGTGGTCATGGACGAATGACTTATTCGGACGGCCATCTGTACGACGGGAACTGGCTTAATGGACGTCGTGATGGCCGAGGTGTGTTGACATGGAAAGACGGTGACCGGTATGACGGACAATTTCGAGACGGAGAGATGAATGGACACGGTGTGAAGTATGATATATCTGGTTTTACATGGGAGGGTGAATGGAAAGGTGGTAAAAAACATGGATATGGTTGGTGTACGCATGAAAATGGAGATGTAAAGGAGGGCAAATGGAATATGGGCAAAGAAATGAAGAAAGAATACTAATGTTAACATGACACTGAAATCTTCTCCTGGAATAGCAGGATAAGAATAGAATACTATGAAGCTTGTAGACACGATAATATTTCTTAAAACCTTAATTGTTTATATTCGATTCTCATAATTTCCAAAAAGCTGACTTTTTCTTAGAGCCAGTTTCTGGGGTCACACGCAACTTTTGAGATAAAGTATATAGCCGTTTAAGAAAATATTCGATTTTTAAAACGTTTTCTTACCATTTGTGTAGAGAAAACATCATTTTTCTGAATTACCTTGGAGATTCAGCCACCTGTAAGTATTAAGTACATGTTTTCCCACTGTTTTGAGTATAAAGTGTCAGGAAAAAGCTTTTCTGATTAACGCACCGGGTAAACCTGACGCGTGGAGCATCTATTTAAAAGCAACTTACTTTTCGAAATTTTTTTTGCTAAACGGTACAACAGCCATGCCATTTATTCATATGTGTTGCTATTATGTGTCAACAAAGTACCTCGAAGCATTTAGATAAATGCTTTTAAACTGAAGAGGAGGTACATCGGTTCGTTGTTCAAAGAAGTGAAATACGCAAGGAAAAACTGCACGAAAGATACTCAAAATCTAAGCTTACACTATGATTTCTGAAAATGAACGTCTCTTTCACCGACTTACAACAGAATAATTTCAAAAAAACCGTTACGGAAGTGTTTTTCCTTTAATGGAAAAATGTTCAAGCAGCATATTTTATAGCCCTTCAAAAGCTCTACAGTTGGGCTGTTGTTTACCCCCTTACTCTGAGACATATACCTTTTGTCCCTCACTTGATCATCGAAGAGGGATCAAGGAGGGATTCCATCTTCTAATTATAAATATGATGTTAGTATTACTAGTAAACATTTAGGAGTTGAAAAAATTCAATTTTTTCGTGGAAGCCACTTAAAAGTCTACTCTAATTTTGGCAATAAAAAGTTCATAACCCCTCATGGACAATTTGGCTTGCTGTCGGTGGTGGAATTTTAATGGGTAAGATGTTGAAACGTTATCACTTCCCGAATACAATAATGGTAAAAAATTCGTTCTATAGGATTTAATAACACTCTAGATTATATTTAATAAACGCTAAGGTCATTTTCAGATATTTTTAAAATAAATAATGAACCATTTAGTTTTAGTACACTTTGTTTCTCAAATTTTTCGTACGATTTCAAAGACTTTAACCAAATCCCGTACATAGAAAGATAGACAATTTTTCGCGCTTTAAAACGAGCTATTGACAAGCTTCTCAAACATATGTCCACATAGAACAATTGTCAATAATACTACTACACAAGATAATACTAGACAGATGTCATGATTTTTATCTATCCTAACACTTTAAAGGAATACTTCTTTGACGCTTCTGCTCGGACCAGGAATATTTTTATAGAAAGGTGGAGAATTTTCTGCACTTCAAAATGAGCTAACATATAAATAAACTTTTCAAAAATATATCCATATAGGACAATTGTTGACATACTCGACTGATATCATGATTTTCGCCTATCTTAAGGCTTTAGAAGAATATTTCTTCTACATCTTTGCTCAGAACAGGAATGTTTTATATATCGGAAGATAGAGAATTTTCTGGGCTTCAAAATGAACTACAATATTTTGTTTCAAAAGTTTGTCCTCATAGATTTATTGGCTAAACACCGGATGGACATCTCGATTTTTACCCCTAGTAATATATAAAAATAATCACAGTTTCTTCAGGTCAGAAGTGTTGGGAAGTGAAAAGGGAAGCATTTCTGATCAGTTTCACTCAAAATCATATTGGGCCATTTTCTAGCACAAACTGTTTCCCGTCCTTTAACTAATGTTAGATTCAATAATTGTAAAGTATAGGCAGTTGGTTTCAGTTTTAGTATCTTCGTAAAATTAATTTTACAACAAGTAAATCTGTATGTATGCGTTTTACGGACACAAATTTTACTGACACTGCTTTTCCACCACCGGCAGAAAGCCAAATTGTCCATGAGGGGTTATGAACTTTTTATTGCCAAAATTAGAATAGACTTTTAAGTGGCTTCCACGAAAAATATGAATGTTTCAAGGCATTTTCGGATTTCTTTTCTTTTTCTGTGTATCAGAATAAAATCTGGGTATTTTCATAATAAGAAAAAAACCTTTCATGGTTTTTAAGTGTTCTGACTGATTAAACAAACAGTTCTTTCTTAATATTTGTCCGCTCATGAAGAGCAGAAAAAAACGAAAAAAAAGTCCTTGTTATT